CAGGGCCGGTTCTGAGATTTTAGGGGCCCTGTGCGACAACAACTGAACAAAAGGCATCAAATGAACAACAAAAATCAAACAAAAATCAAACAACAAAAACCCTAAGTAATCCCAAAAAAAGAGACCCAAATCTTACATCTTAATCTGTGATTTTGATTCCGAGTTCGACAGCGGCCAGCGGGGGCAGCGACGGCAAGCTCGGAGCTCCGATTCGAGCTTAGCGGGGGCGGCGACGGTGATTCCCGAAGTCTGAGCGGCCAGCGAGGGCGGCGACGGTGATCTCGGAGCTCCGATTCGAGCTTAGCGGGGGCGGCGACTGTGATTCCCGAAGTCTGAGCGGCCAGCGAGGGCGGCGACGGCGAGCTCGGAGCTCCGACAGTCCGACGGCGACGCTGACGAGTCTGGAGGAGAGAGCTCAGAGAGGAGGGGGCGGCGGCTAGATCTGAATCATCTGATTTGTGAAGATTGGTTTCTTTTGAATGAGGGGTTTTGATTTGGACGGTTGAGATTAAGGGGTTTGTGAAATGGATGATCCATATTTGCTCTCCCTATATATATATAAATATAAATTAAAAAAATTTGGGGCCCCAAAATTTCGGGGGCCCTGTGCGGGCGCACCGGTTGAACTCCCACAGAGCCGGCCCTGCTTTCATCCTGTCTTTACTCTTTTATATGTACTAGCTAGTGGGTACCATGTGCAAAGCACGGACCCATGCTTTTTCTAAACAATGCATTTTGAACATGTCTCCCTCTAAATTTTGATACATTTGATTTGATTATTGTATATATGTTTAAAATTAGAAATCATATCTATTGCTCTTAAAGGCGGATCCAAATATTTGCTGTCATGTACAGTAAAATACTGTAGCATGGATAGAAAAATACTGTAGCATGAACAGTAAATGTACTCTTTGAGGAGGCTGTAACGATTTGTTGTTCATGTTACAGCACTTTACTGTACCATTTACAGTAAATATTGAATCCTCCTATAAATAGAGAGGAGTAGATATGTGTAGATATGTATATATATGTTGGGATTGTGTCTTTGATTCTTTGTAGATCGAACTTCATGAGAATTAGATAGGGTTAGAGATCTATCATGATTAGGAGTTTGTGTTCCATTATGATTAGGAGTTTGAATCATATTCTAATTAGGAAGTTAGGCTGGAGATAGGGTTTTGGTTTCCCTATATATGTCATTCTATTGTTAGAGGAAAAACTAAGAAGAAGAAGGGAGTAGAGAGAAGATGTAGCAAGGGGGGGGGGTTGGCAGTCTTTGTCCGTGCAAAAGATTGTAATTTGAATGTAATAGTGGATTGATTTTGATCTCGTGGTTTTTCCATGTTGAGGGTTTTCCACGTTAAATCTTGTGTGATTTTATTTGCTGCGTTTGATGGTTTTTTGAGGGGTTTTTGCGAGATCTAAAAAAAATCCCTTCAATATACTTTCTCTCTCTCTCAAAATAATGTTTTCTTGTATGCTAAGACTTATTACTAACAAATCAGAAGAAGGGATTCCGGCCCTAATGAAATTGTGGGGATAGGAAAAAAGGTGAAAGGACTCTTCAATGTTATCCCAGATGCACTCTAAATATCACCTACAAAAAGAGACTTACAGATGATGTGTTACTTCAACAGTTAAAGCTTTATCCGGAATGTAAATGTCCATAGACTGAAATACACGCAGCATCTCAAAATCTACCATGATTTTACTTCCTTGTGCATCTTTATAAAATTTCTCCTTTTTAATTTTATTTCCACATAATAATTTGAACACGCCGACGTCGAAATGAGTAATAGACTTCACATGCACATAATTACGTGAAGATTTCGACAAAGATGTTCACTTTACATTTAAATTTTGAGAAATTATCAAGATGTTAGTAAAACATGCATGTATTGTTCTCAACTCTTGGAGAAAGTGTCGTTATAATTAACCAGCATACTCCTCTTCCAACTTTATATACGTTGTATAATCTAGCTGTCATTGGGAAAATAAGAAGAATCTTGCACAAAATAACAGAAGTCCCAGAGATAGTTGTGTACGTTCTTTGATATATCAACATTTTCTTACCTGTCCTTGTTTTTTTTTTCCTTTTTTTGTCAAACTCTTAGGCGTACACATCATTGAAACTTTTAGAATCAGGCAGAGGTCAAGATGAGCAACCCAGTTGTCAATAATGGAGTACATTGATAAATTTATTTCATAGAGATTTTATGTTTAAAAAAAAAGGACTGGTCAATGACATTTGTGTTACCCGAGCCACATGCATGTTAATTGTTGATATATAAAGTGCAAGGTTTTTGACTTTTGATGAGACTCTTGTCACCTACTTGCTACACGCGTGCAATATAAAGAGGTTGTAATAATAATTGTATGAGGAAATATGCATGTATAATTGGAGTATATATAGTGCGTGTATAAGTCAGATTTATTGACGCATATATGATTTTATTCTTAAAAAAGACCGACAACCAAAACAAAACAAAAAATCAAAAGAACAAATAGCTGGAAGCCGGTAAAAATACTTAGCTGGGACAAAAGATGATCATTTTAATAGATGTACAATATTCTGTTACAGCCCAAAACATTTGTTTAAGAAAAATTTCTCCTTTTGTTCCAAAGTCTCTTTAGCAATGTTAGATAATTTAACTCATATTAAAAAAGTTAGCTAGATAATGTTAGGGTTGAACACACAACCTCGTGCCCTTCTAGATCTTGTGTCGAAAGTAAGCAAGTAAGAAATCACAGCAAATAAAAGAAAAACTTGCAAGAAATCAAATAAAAGAAAAACTTGCAAGAAATTAAGAACAACTAAAACAAGAGAACACCAGACTTCACAAGATTCGGCAAACATGGCTACGTCCTCAGGAGCCACACCAGAAAATTTTTGATTAATTGAAGAAGATTACAATGCTCGCAATGGGCATCTCTCTCTCCCTAAAATCTCTGTTCTCAAAGAGCCGTCAAACCCCCTCTTTTTCGTGTACCAATCAATCCTAAAAACGTTTTAGGAAATATATATAAACCCAGCCCAAAACAGATTCCTAAACAAGCTGGGAATCTAAAAATCCCAACGTCGGTCGACTGGTGCATTAGCGTCGGTTGTTAGTATTTGTTTGTAAAAAACAAGATAGTCCCACATCGGAATTTTGAGCATTCTTTTAGAGGTTTAAAAGCATTGAATGCTTATTGGGCTTTGAATAATGGATCAAAGTGTAGGCTTCTAAACCCGCGTGCGGGTAGCGCGAATAATGCGCGATTATTAGACGCACTTAGCACTTTGCACGCTTGCCGCTGCCGCTTAAATGTTATATTTTTTAATATATATAATTATATATTGAATATATTTTAATGTTATTTCGAATTTTAAAAAATTTATGAAAAGACAAGACTGTTGAAAAGTGGCTGTTTAATCCAAGGGGTGTTTTGAAAAGTTGTGACTGTTGGAAGCACCTTTTCAAAATCTATAAATAGTTTATATTTTCAGATATCAAAAATAATTCTTTCTCTGAATCTTTTCTATCAAAAACTTCTGCAATATTACAAACTTGTTTCACAACGAATTAAGGAAAATTCCAGATTTGCTTACTGGAATTTTCATTTTCTGTTGTATCCTGGGAAGAAAATTTGCATTAACCCGAAGCAACTTTGAATATCAAGTGGGGGCAAATATTTCTTTAAGGAAAGTGTTTCACGCCTCAGAATTTCTGTCTCCTTCAATATTAAAACTAACATCGGTCGGTCGACCGGACAGAGCCCTGTTTTCTACAGGGTTTCTGGTGCACCTCTCGGTCGATCGGCGCCCTTTCGTCGGTCGACCGGCCAGAGCGTGCTTCTGGGCTTGGTTTCCTGCAAGCGTTTCAGTCGACCGATGCTGGATTTTTCGGCCTCATTGCTGATTTTGATTCAGGTTTCGGTCTTCACACTTCCAAAACCAACAGATAATCGAACTTATAAATTGGCCGATCCATCTATTCACTCTGTGTAAGGTAGATGTTATAGCCTTTAGGAATAAAAGATTGAAAAATAAAATAAAAATAAATAGGGGGGAAAAAGGGCAGAAAATGCAACCAGGTTGGAATGAGCTGAGATGACGTCGATCGACCAATCTTTTTCCCTGAAAGACAGCCGAGACCAATTCAAATAATTTGTTATGCACGGGAGACTTATTTGTTGATCATATCATTCGAAGAACCTCCTTTTAATTGTATGTTATTTATCAAGGAATAAATCAATCTCATGCTAGCCACATAACACGAGATATTGTGGTCCAAGCTTGCATTATTCAACAAGTGGAAGACAGAAGAAAACATATTTTAATAGTAATTATGCGAAGGCCGCGACTTGGACCAATCCGCGGCCACTCACTGCATGCAAACACAATTTCACGTTGCTGGCTCGTGTCAAATGATGAACTCACGTTGGCCCAAAACTGGGCCCACAATTATTGGAGACATGCATATAATAGATAATAGACCAATGATGCGGATATACACAACGCCAGCCCAGAAAGAGTCTTGCATCTGAAGCGCGCATTTACATCCAGCTGTCCCTCCCCACCTGTCATTTGAACGAGTTATGTCTGGCTTCAATTATTGGCAGCTCACTGATTAACATTTATGACACCAGCACCTGATTTCTTACCAGCGAATCATTTTTTTGTGTATCATAGAAATACATATATAACTTGTTAGGAATTTAACGCCGAAATCCCTAATGCAACAGAAACGCAGAATAGAAAAAATACACCAAGATTTACGAGGTTCGCCAACTGCCTACGTCCTCTGGAGCCACACAGTTAATTTCTTATTAATCAAACAAGAAATTACAAATCAAGAGCAAATCCCAAAACTGAGATTTCTCAAATGAACACTGTAGCTACAGTGTTAATAATTAAAGGGAATAAACCCTTTTCAAATCTCACTTGAGAATAAAGACTATCCCACTTTATAAACCCCTCTTTAATTCTCTCTCTCTCTCTCTCTCTCTCTCTCTCTCTCTCTCTTCTTAAATCTCCCCTCAACCACTGTTGAAAGCTGGGGATTAATCAAAAAATCGCTGCTGCGATTTTAGGGCAGTCCGCCGCCGCCAGAGAGGAAATCGGAAGAAGGGGGACAAGCACAGCACCGAAACCCTAGGGCGATGGAGGGGCTTTTATAGGGGAAACATTGACAGGCTGGCGACAGCCTGTCGCCAGCGGCCCGCTTGGACGCGAGGGTGGGAGCGCCAAAACGCGGACGTCGGAGTGCGGACGCGAGGGTCGGAGCTTGGACGCGAGGGTCGAGCTGCCAAAACGCCGAGGTCGCGATCGCCAAATTCGAGCTCAACTGCTTGAGCTTCACCTGAAGTTCGTCGTCGACTTCGCCTGAGTCGACGTCCACGCTCGCCTGCATCATCCATCGAGCTCGTCGGAGCTCCTCGCCGGCGGAGGTGAGTTTGGTCTACACCCAAACTAACATAACTAATAGTTAAGTCATATATAAGAGCTTTGCTACGGGGACCTAAAATATGGGACTAATAGGAGGGACAAGTGAGGTGCCCTCCTCCTATTGGATAATGAGTTGGCCATCATTAATGATGGTCAACTCATTATCCAATAAGAGGAGGACACCTCACTTGTCCCCTCTATTGCTCTCATATTTTGGGTCCTTGAGGATTCACGAGGTTTCACAGTTCCCTTTGAAGTTCTTAAAGAAACATATATAGTTTCCTGCAACGTTTCTACGCCTTAAATATGTATACATGTCCACAAAACTTAAATCTAAGCTGTTTCGATACCATTTAATACACTTTTGTTGCGTCAAAACTCTAATGTTTTTACAAGAACGAGGTTTATAATTTTATACTCTAACAACTTAATCATGTAAAAATGTTTATATATATGTATATTTTTGTCTTTATTTATCTGTTTCTCTAACCAACACATAAGTTAGCTAGAGTCAACATGGTTCTTGTGCAATTATTAATTAGTTGATATTTCCTCAAGATAATGGTGTCATGGCTGTATTAATTACAGGTTTCCTGCCTGGACTTCCTGCAACAAGTCAGAGAAAAATATTATGTGATGCCCTTCCCTTCCTTTCACGTAAAAACTTGTAATTATTGTGTACAAACTTACAAAATATAACCTTACAAAAATTGATACCATATGGTTCAGGCGCTTGAGGGTGGGCTCCAAGATTTTTGGAAGGACCATCACTGGTTGCAATTTATTTTATTTATTTTTTCCTCACTTCCCCACTTCTCTTTTGTCGTTCCTTTCACGCTCTTTCACCTTCCTTTAACTTTTGCGAAGAACGGAAAGCAGAGTTGCTTCCTAATTCAGCTCATATCTTCTTACGTTACAACAAATTAATTAAGTGCTTAAATGTTTAATTATCATGCTCATGAAATTAATATTTATCATTCTAATTAAATATAAGTAGAAGTAGAGGTGACGTGTTACAAATGTGTCCAACTTTTCCTGCTTGCAATCTCAAAAGATCATTCATCACGTGCGTCTTGATTGAGTAACACACTATTCTTTTGTTGAGGATGCATATTGCTATCTAAAGGACCCCATCACGTTTGTTGAAGCGCAAAATCCAAGTTACAAATGACATCAAAGTTATTTTTCCTTGACTTTCTGTTTCCTTTTAATGAGAGAAAAATCAAAGTTTTGCTTGTTTCCCTTCTCTAAATCCCCAACCTAGGTGATGCAAGCAGGTGAGGAGATGCTATGTTTTCCTTTGCTCCCGGAGAAACTTTCTTTCATGGTTAAAAGAAGTAGAAGATCAAGAAATCAAAAGGATCAAACCTGGTTTAGAACGCGCTGCGGATATATTCATGGAGAAACCGGACCGTCAAAAGCTCAAACAGGGGCCCGACAGAGGAAAATAACTTGCAACAAATTAAGAAAAGGTCATATCTCACAAATTGTACGTTGGAATTGGAGGAATTATGTATGAAAATTGTGTATTATTTAGACACAAAGTTAACCAAACTGACTGTTGTTCAGTTTGCCATTATTGGTTTTGTGAAGTATCCTCTGGATTGAGAGATACCAGAGTTTTTATCAGTTTTTTCCCCTATTTTGAGTAATATTTTAGGACCTTATTTTGATTACGAAACAGATCCGGTTTGATTTCAACTTTGATTGATTTGTTTCATCAAATAGCCTTTTAAGGATAGATTTGTTATTTCTATTTTTAGTAAAATTATGGTCCTAGTAGGTGTATAATTTATTTTTCTATTTAAGCAGGGGATTGTAACCGTAGAGATATAATTTTTCATCAATAATGTGAACGTGTGCCAGCCTGGATCTCAAATCACGTGAATGAAAAAAAAAAGAAGAGTCCTCACGTGAACGGGTAAAAGGAGAGTCCAGCGGGGAGTCTAGCGGGTAAACATCCAAGGCCCAAATTTTCTCCTATAAATATCTATTCGTCCCTAGGGTTTTCGTTTGTGTGGGAACAGCGACTTGTGGGTAAAAGCTGCAGGCGAAAATCACAAAAGTCAGAGAGGTTTATTTGTTTCTTTTTTGCGGCTGAGCAGAGGAAAATTGCGGCAGTTGTTGAGAGAGATAAAAAAGAGAGATCTTGAGGAAAGAGAAAAAGAGGGATTTACAAAAGAGAGGTTTATTTCTTTTGGGTAAAAATCAGATCTTTTTTCTTTGAGACGAGCTTGTGGATTGTACAAGTCGTCGGTGTTCTTCTCATAGTGGAATCTCCCCTCACCCCTCCCGTGGACGTAGGCAAGTTTGCCGAACCACGTAAATCTCGTGTATTTACTGTTTTCTGGGTTGTTGGCTATTGCTTGTAGGTTCTCTCAATATTCGGTCTTAGAGCTGATGAGAGGAAGAGTGTATATTTTACTTTGATGAAATATATCACTTTCAATTCTTGTTTCCTTTGAGAAATAAGAATTTCATTATCTATTCGCGTTTCCTTTGAGAAACAAGAATATAGAGGTTGACTTGTGCTTTTGTGACAACAAAAGCCAAGGCTTTCTCTCAGGTGATATCGCTTCCGCGGCGGTGGGCGTGACTCTGCGCCCAACAAATAAATACATCTTCATTATATTCTCTTTGTCGAGTTGAAATTCTTTGTAGATTCGAAGATCGTTCTTTGTGGATTCAAAGAACAATTAATCGATGTATTCCGATGTTTATTATTTTTGCATTGCTTTAAAATTCAATGAATTTCTAACGACTTTCTACATGTTTAACTGTCGTTAGATTTTATATTTTACGTACAAGGTTAAGGATGTTAATTCACTATCGCTACAATTAACATCCAGAGAAGCCAGAGGATAAGGTTAAATATGCAAGCTGTACGTTAAAGAAATTTAAAAAAAAAATTCATTGATATGCATCCATTAATTGTCTATAAAAACAGATATAAAATAATCATGAAAGTACTGTGCATACAAACCCGTAAAAGTCCAACGAACTGAATCCTTACAAAAAAAAAACACATATATAATTAATTTACCTTCACAAAACGGCATCCTCAAGCATTAATAATATGCTATGAATTATTAACCCTAATAATCCCATTGGGTGGATTAATTAGCGAGCACTTGCTTTGCCTATTTAAACGCCCCTCATTCCCTCCCTCTTCTCCTCCTCCCTCTCCTCACTCCTTCAGAATAAGTTAACTTTTCATTTCAAAGTTCTTATTCAGATATTTCTTCTGCATCGAGCCTCGGAGATTTTGATCGTTGAAAAGCCGGCTGGTATGCTTCATTCAGTGGCCTCTCATTTTTGACAAAAAAAAAAAAACCCGCTAAATTATTTGGGGTTTAATCCCTGGAACTAAGTTTGGAATTTAAGGACATGAGCCCAAAATATAGAACATATTAATCTTATGCTATGAATTTTGCATATCCAACACTGGGTCGATTGACTCTTTTTTTTTTCCGAAACGTTTTAACAGATCGTGATGGCATTCGCGTCAGAGATCGATTGCCTCCTTTTCGGTATGGATATATTTCTTCTTTTAATTGTTTTTAGTTGAAATTATAAGTAAATGGGCAGGTTGAGTGAGTCCCTCTTACGTTTGTTCTCTTTTTGCAGATCTTGATGATACTCTGTACCCTCTGAGTGCTGGCTTAGCAAATGAAGTTCCGAAGAATATCGGAGGTATATATATGTGTCATCAGTAATTCTGTACTCATATGCAATTTCTTTTCACATTTGTCCTGAATTTAATTTTTTTTTAAATGTTCTTTTTCCTCCAGATTATATGGTCGAAAAACTGGGGATTGATAGGAGCAAGATTGCAGGATTATGTGATGCACTTTACAAGAACTATGGGACAACCATGGCGGGGCTAAGGGTGAGTTTTTTTTTTTTTTTTTTTTTCCCCCCCCTTTTTTTTTTTTTTGCCCCCCTCCCTATTTCTTTCACCTAATTAATTGTATATTTCTTACATTATTCTACATGTGTCTGTTGTGCAGGCAATTGGCTATTCTTTTAATTATGATGACTATCACAGGTTCTAATATCTCCCCCCCACATAAATTTTTTTAATCTGTTTCATCTAATTAAAAGCTTTGTTATTAAGTTTTTTTTTTTTTTTTTTTTGCCCCCCTCCCTATTTCTTTCACCTAATTAATTGTATATTTCTTACATTATTCTACATGTGTCTGTTGTGCAGGCAATTGGCTATTCTTTTAATTATGATGACTATCACAGGTTCTAATATCTCCCCCCCACATAAATTTTTTTAATCTGTTTCATCTAATTAAAAGCTTTGTTATTAACTTTTCCCCACCTTAAATTTTAAACAGCTTTGTTCATGGAAGATTACCCTATGAGAAGCTCAGGCCGGACCCAGTTCTCAGGCAACTTCTCCTGAGCTTACCCATTCGCAAACTGGTAAGATCCTTTGAAGGGAAAAAAAAAATGGCACGTAGAAATTTCCTCTGCAGAAAAATCTTATAGGAAGTATGAGTCTAGATACAAGTGTCCTGATATCAAATTTAAAGATGGTGCATGACTGCAATGGTACCTGCTGCAGATATTCACCAATGCCGATAAGATGCATGCCGCAAAAGCCCTGAGCAGGCTAGGACTCGAAGACTGCTTCGAAGGAATCGTTTGCTTTGAAACTCTTAACCTGCCCATCCAAGGTGAGCCAGAGCCTAAAATCTTCGACATTGTTGGGCGCTTGAGTCACCCCGATCCCGCTGTGGAGTTGCCGAAGACCCCAATTATCTGCAAACCGTCTGAACACGCCATTGAATGCGCGCTCAAGCTTGCTAGTATCGATCCTCAGAGAACGGTAAAGGCTTAGCATTTTGCTTCAAATCGGCTGTAAATGGAGTGATGTATACTTTGTTGTTGACGTCATTGTGATTAATTGGCTGCAGATGTTCTTTGATGACAGTGTTCGTAATATTCAAGCAGGGAAACGTGTTGGTCTGAACACTGTGCTAGTAAGTATCTGCACTTATGCCCTCTAAATCTCAGACAGTAATTGGTGTTACTTTTTACCAATAGAGGGCAAAAGATAATTTGTTCTAGTCTCAGTCGAATTAGCTGACAATCTAAAATTTAATTTACGTGATTAAATTTGGCAAGTACTTGCAAATCTGATCTGGAACTGATAAGGTTCAATGATTGTGATTTGATTGTTAGCCGATAATCTGGTTCATATCAATTATTGCAACTTCTGTATTAAAAAAAATGACAATTTGTTTTTTATTTATTATTATTTGTATTTAGGTGGGCAAATCTCACAGAGTAAAAGGAGCAGACTATGCATTGGAGAGCATTCACAACATTAAAGAAGCCTTGCCTCAGCTCTGGGAAGAGACTGAGAAATCTGAAGACATTCTGTACTCTGGCAATGTCACAATCGAGACCTCAGTGACTGCTTGAGTGTGAAAATGTAATCAATCGTTAGAGGAGGAATAGGATCTGGGTCAAGTGGTAGAAATTGATCCCCCATTGTGTGCACTTTGTTGTATAAATAACTGTTGGTTAGAAATATATTCCTCATTTTGTTCTTCTCTCTTTTTTTTGTCATTTCATTCTTTGCCACGTAGTGTACTCTCAGGCATTAAAAATATTTGCAAGCACGTTTACTGAATTAAGAGATATTATTGCCTATAGTAGTTACTGTCAAAACCTCCGACCTTGAGTGAGAAAAAATAAATCAGACTGAAGATTCTATGATTCTATCCATAGACATCTCAAACTGATGCTAGCAAAAGCAACGCATCTCTGTGACTCTACTCCTGTCAATATATACGTCTATGTCCACTCTTTATTTTTACACCTTTTCCTGTCTCTTTTTTCCAACACTTAATGACGAATAATTGCGATTCCCTCGTCGCATCGCAATCATCGATAAGTTTCCTTGTCCCTTGGGAGATAAACTATCTTAAAGTCCTCGTCCGCTGGATAGTCGATACATCCGAAAACGAAGAACTTGTTTATATCCACATAGTAATTTCTAAATCTTTTTGTCTTTTATCGATTCAAGAATAGATAGTTTTTAGTGCACAAAGGTGCAATGGTGAATTTGGGATGCCTAGGCCATGATATACGGATGAGATTACCGATTAGATATCTTTCAGATGAATCATCGTCCTTGAATTTGTATGTGTTAAAAATAAATTAACGTGCATACTACCACAAAAGAACCCTTCATTGGGCCTGTTTGGACTGGCACTGGGTCGCTTGATCTGGCCTATCAGCCCATCTACTGCCTAACCCGATGCCACGTCAACCGTGTAGCGCATAATCATTACATACCTCGGAAAAATCTACAAAGGTAGCCAAATAAATAAATATATAAGATAAGAGTTGTTGTTTTAAATCAAAGTACATTAATTTGTCATAATGCATTTCTGCTGGTTACATGTTTTTGCTTTTACCCACTGAAAACTAAGTTCATTCTCATCGGAAGTAGGAAATAAGGAGCGGAAACCGTAAATTAATGGCACTTGGCGATTAAAGAAGGAATGAGCATGAAATAAAATAGAACTCAGCCTATTCAAGCCCATGCATATAAACTGAATGTTGTAGGCCATAAGTGAAATGTTCATGTGGGCCCTTAGCCCATTAACAGAAGCACGCCGGATCGTTTTACACAAGGGTTATCGTCATTGAGTTGATATGAGGTTTGCTAATGTGAAGTGTTGAGTTGCAAAGAAAGGGAATAGTACGTGTTGACAGCTTTCGGTGACTTTCTCAACTTATGGCCATAAGTGACATGTTTTTTTTTCTTTTTTTTTCCTGAACGAGGAGCCGCTTGGTTAGAGCATCGAGTCCAAGGAGCAACTCTAATATTGAGCGCCCTCTCAAATTGAAACCTTTCAACTGTCTGGATCACCGGTGTGGTTGATCTCTTCATCCATTTTTTGTTTGTTTTGTATCTCGATTGTTTATTTGCAATTATGGACTACTAGAAAACTGTCACGTGCGCATTGCATATGTAGAGCAGGATATAGGTCGATCGAACAGTCTATGGAACATAAACAACTAGCATGGAATATTAATTTGTATTCGATGATGGTGATTATTTGTTCGTCATATATACTACAAATTTATCGCATCCTATTACAGAAGGACATCAATGTTCCAAACTTCCAATGCATGCTATGTTGGAATTCTGTCGTTTTTACACAAAGACGAGGATAAAGTAAAGAAGAAAAAAAACAAGTGATGGAGCGTAGCAGACAGAAACATTTTCCAATATTTAAGTCTGACTTTTTTATATCATATATGTTGATGTTTGATATCACACAGTCGAGGGGGGTGCGGTTCTGGTCTTCGCGCTGGCGGCGAATAGGGAGAAGATGAGAGATGAGACCGACTCCTCCTCCGACTTTATGTCCGATCCTTAGACTGGAATTCCAGATCCTTCTGCACAAACAAGAAGAAACCCGTAGGAGGGCGGGGCTCATTTCCCCCGTGATACCTCCGACGGTCAAGTCAGCTGGTGAGCTTGAGTGGGGTTTGAGGGAGAGTCCATGTGCCATTGAGGTCCTTAGAGGGTACTCTTTGAGAGTTATTAGTTCTTTTTTGCAAAGGTAAATTCAGAACTTTTGTGAAGAAGTAGCAGAAAAAATCCTCCCTCTTTTCCCTTCTTTCCCTTCTTTTATAGCTCATCGCCTCTGAGAGTTTGACCCTTTGGCTTTGACTATGCACAGGAGGCGATTGAGGGGTGAGCAGGCAGGCTGCTGAGTCATCCTTCTCCTTTCAGATGTCGGCTGATGATTGGAAGAGAAGTCATTCGAGTACATGAGAGAAATATCTTCTCAGTATCCTGGATTTGACAGATGATGCAGGGTAGAGGATAGGCCAGCTGCTTGGTCGTCCTTCCCCCTCCAGATGACGGCTGGTGATTGGAAGGGAAGTCATTCGAGCCTAGGGGAGCATCATGACGATCCCTGGGAAATGACTTGTGAGTAGAATAAGCGGCTTATGCACGTGATTTGTCAGAGCGAAGATCTTGATGGGACTGATCAATGTTGTAGTGCCGATTGATATCTGGAGCGAGCTTAGCTGGATCTCATCCCCTTAGTAGAGGCGGGTCAGTTCGTGAGTTTTTTATGATTTCCCGACCCGACAGCTGAGTGAGCTTCGGGTCGAGTGTATGGTCGAGACGTCTGCTCGAGGAGTCGTCTTAATTACTAGGGACCGACTGATTCCGCACTTTGAGTCGGTAATGATGACCCTTGGTCAAAAATGACTTGTCTGCTCGGCTGGCCGATAGACTTGCTCTTGGGTGCGCTTTTGGGCCTCTAAGCTAGTTTAGACCATGGTTTTTTTAAACCTATGCAGACAATCTTTCAGTATCTTCATCTTTAGATGGTAAATTACCATAACAATATATAATTGAAATTCAGCTAGATTATTTTTTTTAAGATGATTGTTGCTGTAGAACCTTCTACTTCCTGTTATTACAATATTTTTGTGTTCACGCGAATTCTCTAATGTCTAGCAATATATCATTATGTAATCCTTCAGCTTTTTACCCTACCTGCATCTGTTATTCAAATTCACCAAGCGTATGTTTTTTTTTTAAATTTATGTGTATCCCTCATATACGGACCTCCACATAGGATTTGACTATATCCAGAAAATCATTATTGCTTGAAGACCACTAACACTGCATGGCCACATCCTACCCCTTGAAATTGGAGTAAATGACTACGATTTGAGTAATATTGGACCCTCTCCAATTACCACTTGATTGGAGAGGATCCGAATCCCTAATCGTTTTCCTTTAGAAAAGGGCATACATAGAGAACACAAGAAATTAATTAGGTGGCATGAATGGAGATGATACTGAAGTATGAGCTAACTAACACCTTGTTTATATATAACACATTTAATCGTCAGAGGATTAATTTAGCTCTCGCTCGCTGCTCGTATTCACGGTAACAGTTAATGCACCGGAGTTACGGATATCAATGTTTGCACTTCATCTAATTAACATGCAGCAGGTATCAATTACCAATTTTATGATGCTAATATCTCTAAAGGCTCATTTTTGTCTCGTCTTTTATCTCAATATTATCCAAGCAGAACTAGTGACCCAGCCCTGTATCAGGTCGTAAACAACCAACGAAGTGATTGCAGAGATGATAAGGGCAAGAAACTTTTCTTTTAAATTTATTTTTATTTTTTATTTTTTTGGGGTGGGTGGGTTGGGGGTGGGGGGTGGGGTCGTTTGCATCATCGAAGGCGCGAGCAACAAGAAAACGGCACGTTAAGCCCCGCACGGCTTGAGGAGTCTGTCATGATGTGCTTGCTCTCTTTCATGGAGAGCTAGCAACAAAACGGAGAGCCCGGCCCCTTTTTGTGATCCTCAGAACGAAAAACTCCAGAGCGTGAAACCAAAACATACTTTGTTTTGTTAAACTATTGTCCATCTTAATCCGATACTTGAACCAATAAATTGCCTTCTTGTAGTCGTGATGCTTTGTATGTACCCCCACACGTATTGTTTATTCTTTAGCACGATTTCTATTCATAATAATTGGATAAATAGTTTGCGCACAAACACCCCCCCCCCCCCCCCCCCTCCCTTCCCTTTATGTTGTTTTGACCTACTGCCGTACTCTTTAAGTTTCATTGTTTCAACTGACCCCCTGGGTTAAATTTTTTTGCTCTTTTACTCCCAGATATCTTCGCGAGTATCATACGTGGATGAGACTAATAAGCCTACCTGAGGGCAGATGAGCCAGAAAAGTTAACCCGAGAGATCTGCCTGCAATAATGAAACTACACGGGCAGTAAGTTCAACTCGGTGTCAAAACAGCAAGCAACATTTGTTATCACGGCTAAAGCCCACAGTGCTTTCTTCAGACTTACTCCAGCTCAAATCAACAACAAAGATCGATGTTACTTCATAAAAGGCTGCCGCTTAACGATATGCATACATGAAGAGGATACAATGAAGGCTAAAACACAACCAAAAACATGAACCTCAAAGACAACCAATTACGTCGACCCGTACAAAACAAACGTGCAAAGAATATTACATACCTAAGCAGTGTAATAACATGAACCTCCTCCGTATTTCCTTAAATTTCGACAACATTTCTAATTCCTATTTTGTCCCAGTCACTCCTATAGTCTCACAGCTCGGAAGACTTCGACCCCTAGAAAGAATCATGTACAGTGAACTCGTAGACCGTCATCCTTCGAAAAAGTCAGGCCAAGAACAACCTGCGCATCAGATGCCAAACCATCATAAGTATCAACAACACACAAGAACAAAACTTAAAGTTACACTGAGAAAAAACAAACTACCTCATCATCCATGAGAAGAAAGGCTTATTCAAGAAGAACCAACATGCTCAAATCTTCAACAAAAAACTACTACTAAACATGACTAGGTTTCCATGAAGAGAGAGCATAGACGATTCGCCCCTTCCACCCCTGAAGCAACCACCGGCTGTCTTCATCTATGTTGAAATCTTTGTGATAGTATTTTCTCACTTTGTCCCTTGATTTCTTCACTATATCTCGATTCACATGATGTTGCACAAATCCAGCCCTCAGGTTCCGTACCTGCCACTGCTTATAAGTCTCAGGCCTCTCCATCCTCTCTAATCCTTCACAAGCAATCACATTAAGAGCTTCTCGTCCGAAGATCTCCCTCTCGATCAGAAGCCTTTGTTCATCTTCACGAGGGACTATAGTCTCAAGCATATCATACAAAGCTGAGAAATGATACAAAGCTTCGCGAAATCTTGTCACAAAGAAAGGAGCACTATACGAGCCATTAACAATACCATGAATGAAAACATCAGGGTTCATCTTTCTTATAGTATTCAGCACCATATTTCTCGGTGAATCAACAACCACTGTCTCGTCTGCAAGATACCTGAACTGGAACAAGCAGTTAACAACAAGCACTTCATCCTTGTCAATTTCAAGATCCTCGACACGAACATCTTCCCATTTTGAAGCAATGGGTTTATACTCGAATGGAACATTGAAGCTCCTAGCATAATCAGCAAGCCTTCGCCCAGTCTCTTCAATCCTCTCTGCAGGTCGAAATCCTGGTTGAGGGAGGTCAATTCCTGTGATTCTAAGCTTAGGCACACCATTTGGCCTAGCTGAGAGTCTTTGAATCAACGAAGGCCATTGAAACCCAAAACTGATGCCAAAATCCACTACATGAATGCTCTTTGCCTTCTCTGATACATTCATAATGGTTTGATTTGAGAAGAAATGGGAGAGTTTCTTGAAAGGGCAAGCAGCTAAGTATAGCTGATATGCCTTCAAATAATCAGTAGCAGTTCTTCGCTTCACCCTGTAAGAATTGTATATCTCTCTCCCAGTGCCAGCTAGGCGAGCCTCGAGGGCATTGGCGAAGTAATGAGCAAGCCTCTGAGACCCGTCGCCAGTTGGTGATGAGTGTTGTCTAATCTGTTTCAATAACTCATTTGTGCTTCTTTGATCATCAGCAGCTACCATTTGTGCACAATGGACTAATAAGGTCCTAAGATCAACCACCTCTTTCTTTGTTTGCTTCTTCCCTCGTCCTTTGCCATGGCCATTTTGAGAGCTCTTGCTAGCAACAACATGCTGCAATGCTTCTCTAATGTCATTAATGGCTTTAGGAAACGTATCACCATGGCAAAGGAGCACCTCATCGAACTCGTCGGATCTCAGAGCATCATCATTTGAAACTGCGGACTGCTTAACACTCCTCCCCTCCTCCAAACTAGTATCATCATCACTATGAGGATTCTTTCTACCCCTCGATCCAAAGCTCGAATAGAGAAACTCCCTCTCCTCCTTCTCCGGCTTCACCTCAACAAACTTCCTCTCTTCTTTAGGCTCAAATGGCACCGAGAACTTATTACTCTCCAAATTTATAACCAACTTATCGTCACTAGGAAGAAACTTACGAGCCTCCTCAACTCCCTTGTTAAAACTCCAAGCAGGCAAATTCTCGAGAAAGGGATTGGGAACCCCATTGAGACCATCCCATGACCCTTGAAAGGTATTCCTATAGCTATTTATAGAATTGAACAAGGGTTGGCTGCCGAATTCAAAGGGCAGTTGGGATTCTGAGTATTCATGGGGGACATTGCTCTCAATCACTCCGTTACTGCTGCTGCTGCTACCCTCACCAGTAAAGCTACTAGAATTTGCATAATGAGGGCTTGTGCTATCAGGACTATGCGATCTAGGGTTAGAATTTGGAGGGTATTGTTGCGCTAAAATCTCATAAAAGGGTTTTTCGGCGGCTTCAAGAGCGGAATACTCATGGAAATTATCGATTTTATCATCTTCATCCATAAGCATCTGGTGTATATAATTTAGGGCAATATCCGAGAAAATCTCGGAATCATCGTGAGAATCTCTTTCGGGGCTCGAATTCTCAATTAGGGTTTGAAAGGGGATGTCCAAGAACTGATCTTGGTGAAGAAAGAATTGATTTTTATGGATTTCGTTCATCCCAGTACCCATAACCATTGATTTTGGAGTAAAGAAGCTATTTTTAGAGCAAAAAGGTATGAATTTTACCCTATAATAAGCAAATTGAACAACAAAACCCTAGAAAATGAGCTAATTGGGGAAAGGGTTAGGAATTCGTACCTTGAGAGTGAGAGAGAGAGAGAGAGAGAGAGAGAGGAGGCTCTGAGCTCTAGGAGATGATAAGAGTCTGAACTCTATTAATAGGGAAATTGGAGGCGATAAATAATTGGTCGACAAAAAAAATAGATTTTTTGGAGAAAATGTGGGGCGTCTTTTTCTCTATTTTGCGGAAGTTTCCCGGAACGGCCTCAGTTGACTAGTCCATTGACAGGCTATCTCCGGTGGGTTTGCTAGTCGCCGGTAAGAGTTTGGTTAATTGGCGCGTTTTTTTCCTCCTCTAATATCATCTCCAACCCATTACACCAAAATGGTGTAAATTTTGCATCAAAATGGTGCAAAAGTCACATCAAACAGTAATACATCTCCAACCCATTGCACCATTTTTTACAACAAAAAAAAATATTCTCAGTATATTCTTAGTTTATTCCCTTTTATCTATTTTTATATTAATTAAGAGGTAAAAATAAATAGTTAAAAATTTTTAAAAAAAATGAGCAGTAATACCGCGGATGAACAGTGCGACGCCATATTTGGTGCAACACTGTTCAAATGCACCAAAATGGAGCAAGAAATGGGGCATGATTGGAGAATGAACAGTGTAAAAAAATGCACTGTTTGCACCATTTTAATGCTGGGTTGGAGATGCCCTAATAACTCAATTCGAAATCGAACCAACATCTTGAGCGTCATAGAATCTATCAACTATCATATTAGAACCAATAAATCGCAAATATGTTAGTTTTTTCCTAACTCGCAAATACCTTATTAGCTTTTTTTCCTACCTTACACTTTTATATCGTCACTTGTTATATCTACTATTTACTATATATATCCTGAAGTTCCTAAGATTTACCTATTTTTATGTTCGAAACGTACATTTTTTTTCCTCCTATTTTTAGCATGTTATGCTCACAAAAGCTAATTTCAAAATTTTTTGACTCCTAATGTTTCTTAACTTTATTGTTAAACATGTTTCAATATGAATATCCCTTGGGCCAGATACAAATATATATAGATATCATTTCATTATATAGATGTCATTTTAGGTTTTTAATGGGTTCAAAAAATAGAAATACGTAAGATGGTGAACTGAGGTAAAGGCTATCTTCGGACTTATAGTGATAGCTAATTTTAAATATTTAGGTATATTGAATGCCTTGGTTGTCTATTTGTTGTGAAATTTTATAATAAAAGCTTATCCTCTTTCATTGAGCTACATTCTCAGTTGTTTTTATAGACTCGTGCAGAATATAACAATATTTTTTTTATCTATTTCTTTTATATATTTAAAAAGTATATAAATTTATTTTCTCATAACTCAATCAAGTAAATATAATTACATGAATACGATAAATATCGTATTCTAGCGAATAACAATAGCCGGTCAAGAGTAGCTGCGAGTATGTGACAAATTGAGAAGGGAGTAAGGTCACGTTACGCGAAGCACGTGGACCCGGCCCGCTCGAAACTGATCAGTTACTCGGGGGCTGGATCCGACAGCCCATTGGGGCCCACTTTGGGAGGGAGGCAATTTTACGGGGTTGTGGTAACTTGGTGGTTTTTTTTACGTCATCATGACCGATGATTTGGCCCAATTGGCGTGATAATGACGTCACAAATAGGGCCATCCCGGCTGCCTCGTGCTGGTCGGACATTCTAGGGATGTGCCGAAGCGGAAAGAGATTTTTGCTGTTTACACTGAAAATGAAACTCGACAAAAATAGAAATTAAGATGTTACAATCTGTGACATAATCCATGGCACCTAGCATTTTTTTTAACACGTTATCTGTTCAGATTTGAAAATGAACTTGGTATTATATATATATATCCATATTTTCAAAAGACATGTTGATTCGCGTGACATGCAAGCAAGCACCAATATGGATATATATACACATATCAATCGTCCATGCGCATGCACATACATAGAGGGAGACGGGTTTGAAATACACATGCACATGCCATTGAGTTCATATTCGTTCGCTATTAGAAGAGTATGGGAGGGACCAGTATTATATTCTTACAGTAATTATCTAGTTGTTAATCATAATTTTTCTTCGAATGCTAATTAAGAATGAGTGTAAATTTACGGAAGCACGATGTATATTAGATTTAGAATGACTCGTAACCGCTCACTAAATAATTAACAATTATGATTAAAAATAGTAATTCATATTGTACTTTCGATATATAGAAAAGAATATCCAAATTCACATGCACTTATATGAGCGTGCTTCAACGCGAGAACCCCATGTTGATGTGGTCGCCACGAAAAATACTGTATAAATACACCCAATTAAGTTCTTGTCCGTGGCTTGACTCGGAGAATGTTGTCACGTGAGGTTTATTAGATGCATTGCATCTGGCCGGTCACCATCACCCTTCTCTATTTTCTATATATTCTAACCTTTTGACTCCGAAATAATAATCAGCGCGCGTTGGGCCTCGATCAATCAAGACTGACCACTTTTTTAAAAAAAAATTTCAGAGTTATCATCACGTTATTAATTTAATTTGATCTCGTCTGAA